CGGAGGGAGAGGAGCGGGGAGGGGAGGCGCGGGAGGAGGTCGGGGAGCGTGTGGAGGGGGAACGCGTCCGACGGGGACGGGAAGGCGCGGGAGAGGGCGCGCGGGAGCGGCGTGGACGAGGCCTCCGGCGAGCGGAGGACGGCGAGGAGGGTGGCGAGGTTGGGGTCGCCGTGGGTAGAGAGGCGGCGGAGGAGGGTTAAGCGCGGGGGCATCTGGTTTGGACGACGGAGCGAGGTTGGTCCGGCGCGGCGGCGCAGAAGGCAAGGCGAAGCGGAACTGGAAGCGTCCGAACGAGAAGCCTGAAGTGAGCGTAAAATGGGCAGGCCCAATCTGGCGAGCTCAAGATTTTTCTTTTCTTTCTCCATAAACCGCCTCTTACTAGATGATTTTATTTTATTTTCAAGTTCGTGTTAAAAAAAATCATGTATATTAAAAAATGTTCAACATACTAAAAATAGTTCATTGTATATACTCCATAAAAAAGGTCAGCATATGCTAAAAGGATTCACCGTACATTTTTTTCACGGGAGCTATATCTCACTTGAGAATAGCTCTCATCTCGCTAAATTTTCCTCCTCTGTAGTTTCTGGCCCCCATTGCTCCAAGGGAAACCACAGGTTCGAATTTCCTATGACGGACGATGATGTCATATGTGTCGGGTACCCTCTTTTTTTTAGGGTAAAAGTTGCCGCTTTATTTAAACTTCAAACCTCGGAATGTCATCCGATATAACATCAAGAACAAAGTCTGGGGAAACCCCCAACCAAAACTTACACAACTCATCACCTACCCTTACTTTAGCTAACTTATGCGCGGCAATATTAGCACTTCGCCGAACCCACGAAATCTGCTCTCAGCAAATGTCCCAAGAAGAGACTTGATCTCTTGTACCCACGGACCTGCAGCGGAGAGATTCTTTCTCAATTGTTGTAGCATGTTTACCACACCTTGAGCATCAAGCTCCACGTGAACTCTTGTTGCACTTATCTCCATTGCCACATGCGAACCGCTTCTGCAAGCTAGTATCTTCGAAGCTTTAGGATCAACAACATTTGGAAAGTGATGACAGACAGCTGCCAGAAAGCCATTGTTGTGATCTCTAAGCACAATGCCTCCTCCTCCTTTCTCTCCATGTTTAGTTCATCATGGCGCTCCCAACGCTGTGGTTCGGCATCATTTTGGAGATGGTTTTGGCTGGAGGGACCCGTAGTGTTGCCATTGTTGCTTCTTTGTCTCTTTGTTGCCCTGATTTGGGTGATTGCGGCATGGAGACTGTGTGTAGTGGTGGGCAACAGCGATTCTCTACTATGGTGTGGCTTTGTGGAGGTGGCGCGTGGTGTTAGCGCCGGTGACAATGGCAAATGATGTGAATATCCTTGCCATGGTTGCTCGATGAAGTTTTTGGCGGCGTACTAATGCCATGACGACGCCACAGGCATTTGCCATCATGGCTGGTTCAGGTGGTGGAAATGAGCTGGAATGTCCATTCAGCTCGGTGTCCCAAAACCGAACGAGGATTGACTCTCTTTTGCATAATTTGTATCAGGCGCATGAGTGCCGCAATGCCTGGCGTCCCCTCAGCTTCTTGGGGAGACCTACTGTTTCATCATTGCCCCGCCTCCCTGTCGGACACCAACAAGCTCCATCTCCTTACAAGGTCCAGAAAGAAGCCCCACCCCTGTCGTAGACATTTTGTCGTGATTCTTGGGCATAGATCGTTTCTGCTCCTGCTGGCTCCATGGCCCCGACGGATATCTCGATGCGGCCCGCTTTGGAGAAGCAGGCCGAGCTGCTACGCTCTGAGCTCCTTGGTATGGCTTCCTTTCAGCTTGAGAAAATGGTCCAGCCACTGCGTGACGCTGTTGACTCAATGAAAGGTTGGATGTTGCGGATGGAGAGCTTCATGGAGTGAGTTGAGGCCTGGGTGGGCTCTCCTTGACGTCGCATGTGTTGCAGACTACTCATGTGTTGCACCCTTTGGTTGTGCCCAATGGCAGCTTCAAGGTTGAGAGGGGAGACGAGCTTCATGGTCGTTTCTCCCCTCGTGCTAGGGCCAGCTCACCGTCGTTAGCCTCTGAGGGACTTGACAATGATGTTGTTGTGACTCCAATGCTACAGATCATGCCCGAGCTTTGGGAGTTGTGTGGGGGACCGGTTCTGCCTTTGTGCGTCGAGCAACTGCAGGTAGACCCTCCTGAGATCTCGAGTGTGGCTTTTCCACCGGCATCACCCCAGGAGTCGATCCAGATAGTTGATGCGGAGGAGGGTAGTGATTTGGACGGTGCGATCTCTCACTCGCCTAAGTCCATTGGGCGTCAGGTGTTAGCCATGGAGCGTGGAGTTTCAGATGTTGCTGCCCTTCCCTCATCTACGACATCGAGCAGGTGATTCCTGCGAGTGGCATGGCCATTGAGCCAAGTGTGTTGGCACCTACTCCAAATCCAGATGCTCTCTTCGCGAAGGAACTTTGTGACTTGCTCGCTAGCGTGGAGGTTGCTAGACCTAGTTTGGGCAGGTCAATTGCTTGCCTCCTGATGGGGACACCAATAAGGGGCAAACAAAAGAAGGTGGGCAAAAGCAAGAGTGGTGTTATAGGCAAGGCGTCTCTGGTTGCTTGATGGATGATCTTCGGTCTCTTGGCCTTTCCACTTGGATTGGGAGGTGCATGGTGTCTTATGTCGAGGTGTTCTTGTCGGGATTCACTTGGCGAAGTAACAATGTCGGGGTTTGTGCATGTTGTGCATTCAGAGAGTTTGACAAGGACCGACTATGCGGTTGTGGGGTTTTCTTGTCATGTGAGTAGTTAGCTCGTGCTTCGTCTGTGTAGGTTTTCGCCCGATTTTCCTTAAATCAACTGGGCAATTCTTTTTTTCTTAATTAATTTATGAGGTAAAACTTTTGCCTCCGTTTAGAAAAAAAATATTGGTCAAACTGGGCATTTTCTTTGTCTCGGCGATCTTCAGGACAAGCACATCTCCTTATCCATCTTAAGACATACACATCTGCTTGAGGGTATCATCCCGTTCATCCCAAAATCTAAAATCCGAGACCTTCGGTTCTCAAGAGTCATAATGACAACCATAACCGGGCAAAAAAGTACCATTTTGTGATGTACAGAACCCGCTGCTCACGATCTATTGAACGAATTCAAGGATACATAGTACTTTCGTAGAGGTTGGAATGGGGATTGGGAGAAGAGAGGTACAGCTTGGGGAAGAAGGAAGAAGGGAGAGTCTAAGAGGGGATCGAGATCCAATTACAATTCACTGCCTTCTCTGGCTCAACTACTGGGTATTTAATGCACTCTATTACATGGGGTCCTCTTGCCCTACGAGATGGGCCAATGGCCCAAACGTTTGAGTTAACTTCTGGCCTGCCACTTAGTATATGTCCCCTTCTTCTCCTGTCTGCTCCCTAATGCGCCTTTCATCAGCAACAGAGCATTAGTGCTGACAGTGCCGCCCTCTTGAGATTCAGCCTGACCCCAGGCTGGAGCAGTAGGGTAGCGAAGCTTGATTGTATCATAATCCTCCCAGGTGGCTGCCTTGGCTGGAAGTCCTGTCCACTGTACCAAAACCTGCAACAATGCACGGTCACCTTTTTTGACTAATTTCCTGTCGAAGATCATACCTGGCTGCACATCCATACTGGAAAAATCAACTGGGGCAGGCACAGTGGAAAAGACCGGTGTATGATCTGGTACAAATTCTTTGAGTTGAGAGACGTGAAACACGGGGGGGATCTGGGCTGCTATAGGTAGCTGAAGTTTGTAAGCAGCCGGTCCAATCTGTTCCAAAACTTCAAAAGGCCCATAGAACTTGTATGCTAATTTTGCACATGGTCGGTTGACTACAGTGTGTTGAGCATATGGCTGGAGCTTCAAATACACCGAGTCTCCCACCGAAAACATCCTGGGTGATCTGTTCTGATATGCATAGTGTTTCATCTTCGTCCGGGCTTTAAGTAAGTGCGCCTTCAGCAGAGATGTATGTGCCTGGTGTTCCTTAAGCCATTGTTCCACTTCAACATTATCAGAGGTAAGCAAAGAGGGAAACACTCCATAAGTAGGTTCATATCCATAGAGAGCTTTAAAAGGGGAGCACTCCAAAGCAGAATGAAAATTAGTATTGTACCAGAATTCTGCTAAGGGTAACCATGAATGCCATTTTGTTGGAGTATCATGTACTGCACATCTGAGAAACATCTCCAAACACTGATTCACTCTTTCACTCTGCCCATCTGTTTGAGGATGATAGGCAGTACTCATGAGCAATTTAGTATCCCAAATCTTGAACAAATCCTTCCAAAAGTGACTGGTAAAGATCTTGTCCCTATCTGAAACTATAGTATGGGGTGGTCCATGCAATTTAACCACAGTATGTAGAAATGCTTTCGCTACCACTGGAGCAGAGAAAGGGTGTTTCAAGGGGATAAAGTGAGCGTACTTGGTTAGTCTATCAACCACCACTAAGATCACTTTATAGCCCTCAGATTTTGGTAGAGCTTCGATGAAGTCCATGGTGATCTCTTGCCAAGGTCCGTCAGGTACAAGAAGTGGTTGAAGTAATCCGGGAGATTTCACATGTTCATGCTTTGCTTGTTGACACACAACACATTGATGAACAAAATCAATGATATCTTGTTTCAGCCCAGTCCACACAAACAGTTTCCTAACTCTTTGATATGTAGCCTGGATGCCAGAGTGTCCCCCCACAACACTTGCATGAAAGGCAGAAATGAGTTTTGTTCTCAATGCTTGATTTGCTCCAATCCATATTCTGCCTTGATGCTTGATCACACCTTTCTCCAGAGAGTACTCTGATGTATCAGCAGCAAAAATAGCTAGTTTATGAAGCAGCATTTGAGCATCTGGGTCCACCTCATATGAATTAAGTACTTCTTGTAGCCACGCATGTCTACTGGTGGAAGTAGTGGTCACTGCCAGTAAGTGCCATACTCTGGATAAGGCATCGACGGCTAAGTTCTCACTGCCTTTTTTGTATTGAAACTAAAATTGCAGCCCCACTAACTTGGTCATGGCTTTTTTCTGAACATCAGTTGTAAGGAGTTGGTCTTCCAACTGACACAGACTTTGATGATCCGTTTTGATAATAAAAGGACCTCGTTGTAGATATGCTCTCCATTTTTCTACAGCCATCATAATTGCCAAAAACTCCTTTTCGTATATGGACAGAGATTGATTTTTGATGCCCAAAGCTTTGCTATAAAAGGCAACAGGGTGTCCTCCTTGAGTGAGCACAGCACCAATTCCTGTAGCACATGCATCTGTTTCAATGCCGAACGGCTGGTCAAAGTCAGGCAACACTAATACAAGAGTAGTCATCATCGCTGCATTGAGTTTCTCAAAAGCTTCCTGGGCCTCTGAGGACCAAGCAAAGGCTTGTTTCTTCAGTAGTTGAGTGAGTGGTTTAGCAATTATACCATATCCTTGCACAAACTTCTTGCAATAACCCGTGAGCCCCCAAAACCCTCTTAATTCAGTCATGTTCTGAGGAGTAGGCCACTTGGCCATAGCCAAAGTTTTCTCAGGATCTGTCTGAACCCCTTTGTCCGAAATGATATGCCCTAGATATTCCAACTATTGTTGTGCAAAAGTGCATTTGGTACTCTTAGCAAAGAAATGATGCTCTCTTAAGGTTTGAAACACTATTCTGAGATGTTCCAAATGTTCTTCCAGGGTCTCACTAAAGATTAAGATATCATCCATGAAGACAAGAACAAATTTTCTGTTGTAAGCAGCAAAAATCCAATTCATGATGCATTGAAAAGTGGAGGGGGCATTAGTAAGACCAAAGGGCATCACCCTAAAATGATACTGTCCACTGTGAGTTTTGAAAGCTGTTTTGTGTTCATCCTCTGGTAACATTCTAATTTGATGATATCCTGACCTGAGATCTAACTTGGAGAACCACTTAGTGCCACTAAGCTCATCCAAAAGCTCATCTACCACTGGCATTGGGAACTTGCTCTTCACAGTGATGGAATTTAGCTTCCTATAATCTGCACAAAATCTCCAAGATCCATCTTTCTTTTTTACCAATAGGACAGGAGAAGCAAAAGAGCTGAGACTGGGAATGATAGTACCAGCTTTAAGCATTTTCTGCAACTTGCCTTTCAATCTCATCTTTCTGCAGTGGTGAGTATGTGTAAGGTTTGGAGTTGACAGGAGCGACCCCTGGTAACAAGTGTATTGCATGGTTCAAAGTTCGAGAGGGTGGTAGCTCAGTAGGTTCTTTGAAGACATCTGCAAACTCCCGTAACAAGGGTTGTACTGGATCAGGAACAGGGTCAGGCTTTTTATCACATATTGGTTGTATCAGTGCCACTGCCCAAATATCATTGCCTTTGTGCCATTTCATAGTTTGTTCTAGAGTGACCTCCTTGATGTCCTCTGCAGACTGCGGAAGAATTCCTTGCAGCTTAACCAGACTATCCTTGTGACTGAACTGGATCCATTTGTTTCTCTAGTGACATGTCATTTCCCCTTGAGCTTCCAACTAGTCCATGCCCAAAATGAGATCATAACCTCCCAAATCAGGAACTTTAAAATCATACTCAAATGTGTGTCCCTGGATCCACCAGTTGAGCTGGGGCACTTCATAATTACACAACAGTTTCTCTCCATTGGCCACTGTTACAGAGATTTCTTTGGACAGTTGTTGTGGTGTCACTTGAATTCTGGGTAGCAGCGCTGTATCCATGAAACTGTGAGTACTACCTGAGTCTAGGAGAATAAGTACCACTTGATTGCCAATAAGAGCTCACAAGCGAATGGTTCTAGGGTGATCAGCTCCAGACAAGGCATTGACAGACAAGTGCATTTCTTGCAAAGCAGTTTCTTGTTCTTCTACTGCATCAAGTATATAATCTGACAAAATGGCTTCAGCTGCACTAGTCATGGCCATGACTGCAGTAGGAGTGGGTGGTTTCACACAAGTATGACCAGGTGTGTATTTGTCCCCGCAACTGAAACACAGGCCATTAGTGCGCCTATACTCCTTCAACTTCCTTGCTTTCCATAGCTCTGCAGCAGGTGGAGTGCTTGGGCGTGTGTCCGGCTTGAAGAAGGCAGTTCTGGTAGTAAAACTTCTGTTGGAGCGAGCACGCTGTACTATCTCTTCCTGGATCAATGCATATGGAGTTGCTTCACTAACAGTAATGGGTAGCTGCATAACAACAGCAGCCCGGAGTTCTTCCTTGAGGCCCAGAGTGAACCTCATCACCAAAAATGTGTCACTCGCTGTCGGTTCATACAACAAAAGTTGATACACTAGTTGGGTGAACTCCCGTTTGTACTCAGCCACTGATCTGGTCTGTTTAAGTAACAATAGAGCTCTCATCTTTGTGCGATGAACATTCACATCAAACTCCTGCATAACTACCATCCTAAACTCATTCCAGCACGGCCACTGATGCAGAGCCTTGTATGCATGGAACCAATTTACTGCATCACCAGACAGGTGCAGCGTTGCTGATGTGATCTTGAATTCTTCAGGGATAGTATACAGTGAGAAGTAGGCCTCACATCCATCTAGCCAGATACGAACATCCTCTCCCTTGAAATGGGGAAAATCCATTTTGGGCATCCATGGTTTCTTCGACTGAACTTCGGTCCCAAAATGCTCTGTTGCAGAATGCCCAGCCTGACTCACAAACACAGGTGGTGGAACGGTCGGCTGCCTATGCTGCGGTGGCGTACCCAAAATGCCATCGCTGGTGGACGTGCTCGGAGGAGATTGCTTTGGTCCTGACTCACGAGCAGCTGCTGCCTGCTCCTGTCTAATTTCCCCAATCGACTTCATCATGAGACTGACATTGTTCTGAACAATATGCATCTGCGCTGCCTGTGCCGTGAACTGCTGATCAAGGGAATCCAAGTGACTAAATAGATCATCTAGCTTACCCAACTTGTCGCCCACCGTTTGCAGAAGCTGCAGCTGTTCTCCCACCCGCTCCTCGATGGTCTCCATGGCATCCACCACGAGACGTGTCTGCTGATTCGGCTTTGGGGGCGCCGTAGTCGCCAGCTTCACCGCCTACCAGGAATCAGCGAGTACCAGGGAGTTTTACAGCAGCCGCTAACCCCTTCCTCTGCAACTGACTCCGAACCCCGCCGTGCAGCGCCAACCGAGTAGCCCACCGAAATTTCACACACCCAGAGGATCTGAGTGCAACCGTGAGCTACCCTCGATCCGCCGCCGAATAGTTCACCGCCGCCGACGAAGACACCGCCCGTGCCGCCGAAGAACTGCGACCACCCTCCGCTGCCGCAGACCCAGCCAACAGACGGGGATTTTACTAGAGAACCCAACCCGACCACCGCCGAGCCCGATCCCGCAGCCGATCGACCTAAATCTGATGCCAATTGTGATGTACAAAACCCTCTGCTCACGATCTATTGAACGAATTCAAGGATACATAGTACTTTCATAGAGATTGGAATGGGGATTGGGAGAAGAGAGGTACAGCTTGGGGAAGAAGGAAGAAGGGAGAGTCTGAGAGGGGATCGAGATCAAATTACAATTCGCTGCCTTCTCCGGCTCAGCTACTGGGTATTTAACGCACTCTATTACATGGGGGTCCTCTTGCCCTACGAGATGGGCCAACGGCCCAAACGTTTGAGTTAACTTCCGGCCTGCCACTTAGTATCTGTCCCCTTCTTCTCCTGTCTGCTCCCTAATGCGCTTTTTGTCGGCAACAGAGCACTAGTGCTGACACATTTATACACTGACAGTAAACAAGACCATTTTTACTGAGCCGTAGATCCATTTTAAACAATATTCACTGACCCAAAAAGGAAAAAGGCAGTCGGGGAATACAACAACACCCAACCTTAATTGACCACAAAGAGCTAGCTGACGATGCAAAAGACACATGACCACAACAGCTCTCCCTATAGGCTATACTTACCACCTCAGTACGAAATTCTGCAGTCACGATCTGCCCCTTTACAGCGATAAACATGTTGCCGTGTCCTCATTTATTTTATCCCGCTGTGCAAACTAATGGCATGTACACTCTCCCGTTGTTGCTAAATGGCTGTGCTACGCTGTACTGTCGATCAGCAGAAGATTAGATAGAATGCTCAACCTGTGAGCCCCGGGTACTACGAAGCATAGTTTATCAGCCACTCCAGACTCTGCATGAAAAGATTGCACAGCAGAAGGAATGTTAGTCGCCGTGGCAGCACAAAAAGTTCAGCTACGTAAGTCTATGCACACTGTCAAGAGCACAGTTCAGTTCATGGTACCAATAACAAAGAATGCGAGGGAAGAGGGATCGAACCATTAAACATTCAGGCAGATCGTCGTCCTTGGTCCTCGAGTGAGTCTGCATCACATTAAGGGCAAAGCGGTCAGGCGTTTCTAGTCTTCTCTGACGACAGAAGACATACGAGAAATGCATAGCTTTGATGGTGGAGTTGAGAGCATTTACCTCCATTACCCGATGGCACGAGGACTCCCTGTCAGTGGCAAGGCAGGCAAGGGCCACCACCGAGGCTGCCACGGTCGAGGGCCAGTAGGCGAGGTGCTTATGGTCCAGAAGTGTGAGCAGGGCCAGGTGCTTGGCCAGATCCTCCACCTTGTCGTCTGCTTTTGCCGCCTTCAGATAGAACCTGCAGAATTAGGAAACAGAAAAGTGAACTGCCAGTGTTGGCTTCTCGTTCAGTTTTGCTCGGCTCGGCACAGACGAGAATGCAGGAAACGTGTAGTACCAGAGAAAATTGTGGACTGTCGTGACGAAGCATTGGAAGTCGAGGACCTCCTGAACCAGCCACTCCATGGCCACGACCTCGCTCCGGCTGTAAAGGTTGATCCCCACCATGAAAGACTTCTGCATGATGCTGAAAGAGATGACACACACAGTGAGATTACATTGCCCTGAGTAGAGACAAAGATGAAGGAACAAATGGTGATCCCAGAGATAATTAATTCAGAAGTTCAACAATGATACTGCAGTGCAATGTAAATAGGTGGACTGGTCAAGAAGAATATGTCATGCTGTTCTAAAGTACCCTATTGTTTCTGCATAGTACCGTGCGCGGCATATTTATTTTTTCTTCAGACGTGGTCAAGAATAAGAAAATACTCACCTGTATTCAGGCTCAAAAACTTCAACAAAACCACAAAAGGGGCTCTGCTTTCTCTTGCAACATTATTATTTTTAGATGAAAGGGGTTCTCTTGCAACGTTATGTAAGCATGTGCAACCAGAAAGTTGATGCATAATAGGTTTACATGGGAAAAAATATATGAAACTCTGGCAAAGGACTGTCTACGCAAGTCATAATGGATACAGAATCACCTGTACAATGCTTCAGTTCACTACAATGGATATATAACTATGAACATATTTTTTAGGTTCCAAATCCAAGATGCTAACTACTATGCTCAAGTGGTCGGTGAGAGCTACCTGATTGCAGGTGAATGAATTAGGAAAGTTAATTTCTAAAATGCCCAGCTCATCAACATTTCCTAATGTAAGTAGATATGTGACAAATTGTGAAGTACTAGCATGCAGCGATAAGCCTTTAATGAGAAAAGTAGCCACTGTATATGAGCTATTATCACATGTTTGTATGATTTTGCCACGGGATCAACCAATGGCAGCTTTCAATAAAATCAAGGTATCCCCTGACCACTTGCTACTGTAGTTGCTAAGGTCTATCAAATGCTCAACTAAGTTAAACTGTAATGAGCTCTGGCAAATAGAGAAGAAAACGCATCATACAAGAGCTTAGTTAGGATTTAACAGTATTGTACTACAACCATCTGAGGGAAGAATAGGAAACTACGCTGAAACTTGGGACTTGAATTAAAAGGACGCATTTATTTGAAGCTTCTTTTGTTGCAGGGATGCTTGAAGCATTATTTCAGTTAGCAATGTATAATATGCCAAATATGGTACAAACGTTCAACCAAGACAATCCTATCTTACTACCAACCTGCAGAAGTACTCATACTGAAAGGGGGGAATAAGAAAATATATTATGCACACATTTTACTGAATCAGAATGAACATGTAGCACAAGGGAGCTCAATACCTATTGTATGGCTGGTTCTCTTCAATGCGGGTGGCTAGGGTGATGCAGGCAATGCCCAGCAACTGCACATTCCTAGAGCCCTTTAGGTATCCACGTGTCAAGAAGCGGTCCATCAGTCCAATTCCCAGGAACAATGTCTCTGGCTGCAGCTCTGTCACATGCCCATGCTACAAAATTCATGGGAAACAGATATTATTTGCAAGTCGCAGATACATTTTTATCTGAGAACAGTCAAATCCTCATAGTATTATCTACAAGGATCTCATCATTTTATTACCATTTTAATATCTAGTTGCGTATCAAAATCTTCAGGTGAAAACACGGTGCCGACAGTATTCTCAGAAGTTCTCAATGCAAATATCAAGTGCACACAGAAGCTTAGATTTGAATGTAATGGTATAAAAGGGGCACATACGGACAATGTACTCAAGAGTTGCATATCTACACAGAAATGATGCTGGTATCCTGATTGCTATAATGTGCCTCCTAGACATGAAGACCATAAGCCAATCAAATTGCAAACACTGAATGAGGTATTTTCCTTTTTCAAACTCTTACTGTCAAAATGTCAAAATAAACACCTCCTCAAAATTAATGGCGAGACACGCAATTCAAGTGCTCGCACTGTCAAAACAGTTTAAAAAAACAATAACACAGGATCACTCTGCTCAACAAACAATGTCTGTGAGCAATCTACTAATCAGATTGTTTCTCCCGCCAAGGGGGGTGTTATTCCCCCTGGCATGTTGTTGCTTTTCCTTTTAAGCGTTGTAATAACACTTGTTACATGACCCTGACTTGCTGGGTTTCATTGATGATTCAATGGAGCCGGGGCTAGGCCCTTTTTCTCTAAAAAAAACAATAACATCTTCGACAGTAGACTACTATCCCCTGCAAAATTTAAGAAAATGCATAGCTGGATCTGCTGCCTCAGCACGCCGAACACATAAACAAACTAGAGGTAAACCACACAACCACAGTGCTTTTAGAACAGATATCATTCAGAGAACTAAACCAACACTGAATCTGCAGTACAGTGTCACGTAAATTACCAGCACAATACCAACTCATGACTGTAAATCTGTAAGGCGAGCTTGTACCACAAATTGGAATTGAACTAAAGTGGAATCGCGGTATACATGTAGAATGCAGAGTACAGTGGTGGTGTACACTGACCTCGATGATCCAGTTGACCATGACAGAACGCTGCTCCACGACGTGACGGCCAGAGTTGCCTGACATGGAGGCGTACACCTCTGTGTAGTCGCACGCCACCACTCCCCGCCGTTCGCGCCGCCGGAACTGCTCGTAGCTCTCCTCGTCCTCCAAGTCATCCAACTGCTTCCACTGACACAAACATTCCAACGAAACCAACAAATCAGATCAAACACCGCACTGACTCTCGCAGAGAGACCCAATTTCAAACAGATTTTAAGAGGAACTGCGTGGAACCGGCTCACCTCTGGGATGGGGACGGCGTCGGCGACGGCGTGCGCCTTGTGCTGCACACAGGGGACGAACTGCTTGGCGTAGTCGATGAAGAGGGAGAAGGTGTAGGAAGGGGCGTCGTCGTCGTCGTCGTCGTCGTCCTCGGAGGAGGAGGAAGAGGAGGTGTCGAGCAGGGGGCTGAGGGAGTAGTCGGTGCAGGGGCTGGGAGCGCTGAGCACCTCCTCCTCCGCGTCGGACTGCGTGAGCTCGTCGCAGGCCGAAGAGTACTCCGTCGCCTCGGCGTCGTCGGCGAGCAGCTCGGGGCAGGCGAGGTCGGGATGGAGGACGGAGCGGAGGCACGACGACTCGGAGGCCTCGACCTCCGCGGGGCGCGCCGTGGCGCCGCCGATGACCTCCGAGCACTCGGAGGCGGCGGGCCGCGCGTCGCCCGAGTCCTCGCGCCTCGGCCTCTTCTCCGGGCGCTGCGCCGCGGCGAGGGCGGCGGCGGAGGAGGTGGCGGTGGTGGTGGAGACGACCTCGCTGCGGAAGGAGGAGGAGGCCGATGTGGAGGACTCCGCGGGCCGCTTCCCCGCCGCCATCGCCGCCGCGATCTGGGCTGGGAGCGGAGCCGCCGCGTCCCTCCGGCGGCGGAAGGGGTGGGAGCGCGGCCTCGTGGGCACCGGCGCGAGCATGGTGGGCGGCATGGCGTGCGCGTGGGTGTGTGTGTGTGTGGCCACGGCTAGGTGCTCTCTGATTTGGCTTGGTTATATAGCCGTGAGGCCGTCGACAGCGGGGAGGAAGGGGAGGGGAATGGGGGTGCCGTGCCGCAGGAGGATGAGCTCACCTCACAGACCGATCGCTTCATTTGAATTTGAACTTCACGAGCTTGGTGAGGAAGCAAAGAGCGCGGAGCTACGGCTACGCCCGGTGCACATGCACCACCCGAGGGGACCCCACCTGCTGTCAGCGCAGATCCGTGGACCCCCCGCAGGAGAGGACCAACGTTCTTTTTTTTTTCTGTGAGGGGAGAGGACCCACGTTCTAGAACTGTACTACGAACGATCCCGTTTCCGATCGAAACAGAAGGCGGCTGCTTCCGCCGGTGCGTCCGTGGGAATGTCGTGCTGTCTCAGGATTACACTGCCAAGTTGTCTCCTACTCAGATCCTCAACAAAAAAAAAAGTTGTCCCCTACACTGCACGTGATAGTTTTAGGTATTTAGAGCAACTTCAAAACCCAAACGGACGGCATATGCCTAAGTTGCTTGTGTATCAATAACCATAGCAATGCAGATACACACTCGCAGTTACGCTTTCCTCAATTGCGCACGACCTCTTCGCTCCGTGGACTCGGGCCTCGCAACACTGATTTTATCGCACCGCAACCTTGCTATACCAACCTCGTCGTTACGTCGACTTCAAACACAGACAACCGACTCTGGCTCTGACACGACCGATATCAACATCGCCATCACCAACTTTGCGTTCTCAAGGTCAACTCCTTCGAGGACTCCACTTCTTGGTATAGTCGCTTCAACAACTCAGACCGCATGACCAAGGTATGGGGCATGAAACAACTAAGTCACTTTTGTGATTAAATAGCATATTTCACTCCTTGGAGCGTTTGTTTTTTGCATCTTCCGAACGTCACTCGGGAGTTGCTCCTCACCCACACCCGATTCCGACTTGATGAAATAAAATTTTTAGTTCCTCAACTGTATTATTAAGTTTCTGACCAGTCTACCTTTGAGGGTTGCAGTACACTCGGGGGCATCACCCTCGAGTGTTGCGGCTCATTCGGAATTGCATGTACTTTTTTGTTGGGTGGCTTTTTCTTAATTTCCACCCACTGGGTGCATCATCAATCGACATGTTTGTCACTCGGTTTTTTTTTCACGAGACGTCTAACTAAATGTGCTCGGTATCTAATGCTCACTCTTTTTCTCCAATCCGGTCGCAACTTGTCTGGTTGGCAAGAGCAAAAGCTAATGGTCCGCCGACTCACGAAAAGGTTAATCACAAGGATCAAAGAAAATCAAGTCAAAATAATGATAATGTTAAATACAACCAAAGAGCTTAAGTTTTTTATTTGCATTTACACTCGGCTAATCTTATATGCTTGTTTTAGTGCCATGTGCATAGTTTTTGAGTCCAACTTTCATTTTAGTAACCATTGTGAAGTTATGACACGCAATGTGCCTCGACGTGCTAACTTGATCACTCTGAGGCCAGACCCGGGGTTGCATCATCTCTGATCTCACTGAGACATCACAGGAGGGCTGCACAAAAACAATTTAAAACAATTAACCATGTATATAAATGTTCACTCGGCATCACAATCACTTGGTGAGATGTAGCAGCAAATTTTTACTATGTTTACTTGGCCTAAAGGTATTGTGCAACGCATGTCCCAACAATATAAAGGAGACCCTCCATCAGGTTCACCCGGTCTGATAGAGGCTCAGGGGCTACACCCACTAGGTGCGGTGATCACGCTCCCAGTGGCCAAGAAGAAAAAAAACTTAAGCCTATGCCAGAATTATCCAGTCTGATAGAGGCTCAGGGGAGACACCCTATGGGTTCGCTGATCGCGCCCCCATAGGAAAAGGAAATGCAAAATACAAGGACTAGTGTGTCGAATCAGATTCGTTAGGATGTCATGCATAGGTATGACAAAATTTTGAGTGACTTCACTCGAGCAGATGTTCCATGACCAGGCACGATGAAATTTTGAGTGAACTCACTTGAGCAGATGTTCCGTGTCCAGACATGACAAAATTCCGAGTGACTTCACTTGAGTAGATGTTCCGTGTCTAGGCATGATGAAATTCCGAGTGAATTCACTCGGGAAGATGTTTCGTGCCCAGGCACAATGATATTCTTTAGTGACTTCACTCGAGTAGATGTTCCATGTCTAGGCACGACAAAATTTTGAGTGACTTCACTCGAGTAGATGTTCCATGCTCGCATATGACGAAATTCTAAGTGACTTCACTCGAGCAGATCTTCCGTGTTCAGGCATGATGAAATTTCAAGTGACTTCACTCGAGCAGATACTCCATGTTCAGGCAAGATGAAATTTCGAGTGACTTCACTCAAATAGATATTTCGTGTTCAGGCATGATGAAATTCCAAGTGACTTCACTCGAGTAGATATCCTGTGTCCAGGCACGTTGAAATTCTGAGTGGATTCACTCGAGAAGATGTTCCGTCTTTTGGCACGATGAAATTCCGAGTGACTTACTCAAGCAGATATTTTGTGTTCAGGCGTGATGAAATTCCGACTGACTTCACTCGAGCAGATGTTCTGTGTTCAGGCACGATGAAATTCCGAGTGACTTCACTTGAGCAGATGTTCTGTGTTAAGGCACGATGAAATTCCGAGTGACTTCACTCGAGCAGATGTTCCGTGTTAAGGCACGACAAAATTCCAAGTGACTTCACTCTAGCAGCGTGTTCAGGCACGACAAAATTTCGTGTGACTTTACCTGAGTAGATGTTTTGTGCCCATGCACGACAAAAATTTGCATAGCTTCACTCTAGCAGATGTTTTGTGCCCAGGCACGACCTAAATCTAAGTGACCAGTCAGTCGGTACAGACCAGCTCTGCACTTTGGGTGCTGATACTCCACCTTAACAAGGTTGTCAGATTACTCGACGACACCCTTGACAAGGGACAAATTAAGCATCCTTAGTGGCATGGATTGGACTCTAAATAAATAGCCAAATACCAAACTTCACAGGTTTGGATCCCATTTTGATGATCAAAATACGTTCCTCAGGGATAGTGACCGACATCTCTTCGTAAGAGTTAGACCACTCGTCAACATCGCCACTCGGGTTTCATGATACACCCTCGTCTGGGCCGCTAGTCACCCTCTTTCGAGAGGTGGTCAAGTATCACCAAGCCTTTCCACAACTTTTTTTAACTTGCCTTTTCAAGAAGGTTCTTTTGAGTCCGTCGAGGCCTCTCTATAGGTAATTCGACAGTATTTCAAGCCCGACAGTCAGTTGGAATGCACTTCCTTTGTGGTAGGCCGCGCCTATGGCAACATAAGGACTGGCTAAGAGGTCAATGCAAGCCCAGGCCCATGAATGTAAAGGACCAGCTAAACACCAGCAACAGGTGGTGGCGGCCCAGTCGAAGTAGACACTAGTCGGGGGGTCATCTTTGGTCAGGAGCTTTATCACTCGGGGTGTAACCTATTGGATTTCATAGCAGTCCAACGGACAAAAGCATTCAGAGAGGAGTTATTGCACAAGGCTTCAGTATGCAATAAATTTCGAGCATTATCAGCCGCTTCCATAGCTGTTTAAGGCGTCCATTTTCACTCATAATGGACATGAAACTACTGGTATTCAATGTGTCGTTTAGTAGCACCTATGAGCAGCCAATGGACCCTGGTGCATGTCAGGCTCTATATAAGCCTTTCTGAGGTTTTGAGCCAAGGGTCCGCAACCATTGTAATCTTATATTCATACACAAGAACAACTCCCAGAGAGACAGGACTAGGGTTTTTACATTCACCATGAGGGGCCTGGACCCCTGTATATGATCTTGTGTCACCCATTTGCATCTTAGTAGATCAAGCTCCGTTCATACACCCCTTTTATTGTCGGATTTGGAACCATGACAACGGCGACTGTCCGATGATTCTGCACACGGCGACGGCTGTTGCTGCTAGGTGGCAACCGGGGTGATGTTGCAAGCGGTGATGGCCAAGGTTACGATTGGAGAGACGTCATACCATGATAGGCCATATGACAGTGTTGCCAATGGACACGGTGATGCGAGCCAAGCTGCACCGCCATGAAGTTGTTGGTGTTGCGAGTGTGATGGCGTCCTGCTACGAGCAGAATGACACGGTGGTGTTGCAAGCGGTGACCTGTGATGCTACAAGGGGGGGGGGGGTTCTTCACAGACAACAAAGAAGGAGGAGGATGGGAATCCATCTCCAAGCGCTTAGCACATGAATAAGATCCGGTGCAACAAAGCGGATCGAATATAAACCAAAAGAATTACTCCCTTCGATCCATAAGTGTCGTAGTTTTCAGCTCTCTTGACAGCATATCAGAAGGAAATATGCCCTAGAGGCAATAATAAAGTTGTTATTTATATTTCCTTATATCATGATAAATGTTTATTATTCATGCTAGAATTGTATTAACTGGAAACTTAGTACATGTGTGGATACATAGACAAACAGAGTGTCCCTAGTGTGCCTCTACTTGACTAGCTCGTTAATCAAAGATGGTTAAGTTTCCTAGCCATAGACATGTGTTGTCATTTGATGAACGGGATCATCTGTTAGCTTAGCATAATGATTGTTTAGTTTTTCTGCTATTGCTTTCTTCATGACTTATACATATTCCTCAAAATATGAGATTATGCAACTCCCGAATACCGGAGGAACACCTTGTGTGCTATCAAATGTCACAACATAACTGGGTGATTATAAAGATGCTCTACAAGTGTCTCTTATGGTGTTTGTTTAGTTGGCATAGATCAAGATTAGGATTTGTCACGCCGTGTATCGGAGAGGTATCTCTGGGCCCTCTAGGTAATGCACATCACTATGAGCCTTGCAAGCAATGTGACTAATGAGTTAGTCACAGGATGATGCATTACGGAACGAGTAAAGAGACTTGCCGGTGATGAGATTGAACAAGGTATGATGATACCAATGATCGAATCTCGAGCAAGT